GTAGAACTCCTAAGCATCGATGGTATTAAGCGGAATCAAACTTTCTGATCAAATAAATGCCATACGGTTAGGCTTGGATAATGATAAAAGAGTCTCTACTACGTAGAACACCGGAATAGGTTATGCCATACTCCTTATGAAAGAAGAATTCAATTTTGATGTTTCAAAACTTCAGGTAGAGAAAAGCTAAAAGTAGCAGCAAAAGATAAAAATTTCGAATTTAAAGTAGCCTAAAAATTTTCAAATAAGTGAACTGAGTGAAAAAACTTTGTGAAAAGGATAATAGGGGTGAATTTTGACTTCCCTGACCTTGGCAGCTCTAAAAACTGACTATGTGAAAATTGAGCATCATTTTCACTTTTATTTGCCCTACTGGATTTTTAACAATCTTCTTAAAGCCTACAACTCTAAGTGTTTTTTCTAAAAATTTGCAACAACATTTAAAGTGTTCTGAAAAATAATTTTACTAGTGCACGTTCTTCAGTACTTTCAAGAAATGAGCTTTAGTCGCTGGCAGATAAACGAAATAAAATCTCTCTCTTTCAGCCTAAGCTAGACTTGATGGTTTTAAGTAGTATCAGGAAAGTACGTTAAAACAGTTCCATAATAAGATCTGGAGGCGTCAAAAAATGCAGTGAGGGTTATTATCTCTACCGAGAAGCTCTTCAATTACTTTCAAAGTCATAAACTTAAATTCGATATTTCCATTGTTGTTGTATTTTGTGTTAGTATTATTGTTTTACTGTGCAGTAATTAGTTGTTCATAGTTATGTAGTACACGTCAGTTTTATCAGCCTTCTGTCAACATTTCTGAAATTCAGCTTGTTTTCACTGCAGTTACTTACTCTTATTTTGCTACCAGTTTATTTTGCAGTTTTTTCTTTGATTTCTATATTATAGCGCCATATGGCCACCCTCAATCACTGTTTGACAATACTGCACGGATTCCAAATTGAACCTATAACTATAATTGCTTCCTGGAACATCAAGGATACCTGAGAGCTGAAATGATTGAGTCGAACAGTGGATACTGTTTTAGTTCAAAGAATTCAAGCTGAACAGATACCGGGATGAACGAAGAACCAAGCAGAGGTTTGAAATTTTGTGAACATTGGCATAGAACTGGCAACAACAAGGAATTGGCAGTTATAATAAAAATTTAAGAACGCATTTTTCTATTTAACAGTTTTTTTGTTGTGCAGTTCGATAAACGTTGGTGAGAAATGATTGGTTTGTTGTGGTTTTAAAAATGGTCTGAACCCATTAAATGTTTTGTTCTTTTTTTTTTTCAACTCTTTTTCCGTCTTCACCTACAGGAGATTCTATTATCTGCTTGATAATTCTGTAAAACTATCGTACAGCTCCTTACAACCCAATTAAACCAGGATTTTTGTTTTTTTTTTTTTTGTTTGGAACTGACGTATAATGGTTGTTAAAATTTTGGCAGCAGTTACAGAAAGGATGGATGGTGTTCAGCAGGACGGCAGTACAAGATCCCATACTGGGGGGAAATTGCTAAGTTGAGCTTCAGCTTTGTGCAACGTAAATAGGATTTTTTTTTTAACCCTATTTACTCGGCCTTCTCACTGCTGACTGCCACCTGTTTACAGCTATTGATGATTATTTATGTTAAGATATTTGGTGAATTAGTTGTAGACAGTTTGTTGACATTCATAACGTGTAAAACTGCCGAAAAATTGTCAGTCATATAGCAGTTCTAATTCTGATTTAATTAGCAACGTCAACTTAGAGCAAAGTAGAAACATTTATTTTTATTCACAGCTTAACTTCTGATTGTTACTCAAACTATTTGCTTTCTCAAGCTTTAGACAACATCTCCGGTCTGAAACGCCATAACATTTTATGATGATAGAAGATCATTTCCATCTCTAATTCTATAGTACTGAAGTTAATTAGCTACTTGAAAAATAGTGTTTACTCGTTTCAGTTATGAAATCGTTGTATTAACTGAAAATAAGTTTAAAAAGCGGCAGCTAACTTTAAGAATGAGCTAATATTTCAAGCATAATTTCATCCACCCTTGAACCAAAAAAATCTCTTCAAGTGTTGTAAAAGCGAAAT